TAGGATCTTATGGATGACCGATCAAAAGACTTCCTGGCCCCGCCCTCTCCTCACAATTACTGCTACTTTGGAGTCCATGGTTCCAACCACTCTGTCGGGTGACCTCTTTACTGACCCTCTACTTCACCAAGCAAGATGTCCTCCTCCAGAGATGGGGCTCTCCCGGTGATGTGGAGCTCTCACCATTCTTGCTTCCAAGGAACATTCTAGCTGTGCTCCTTCCAAGACAGATTTGCTCATTCCTTTAGCAGTCCGGGGTATGTGAGTTCTTCTTCACCAACACCAGTTTGAATCGTGCATTCTAGAACGTCATCGGAATGGGGCTTCTCAGGTCTCCCCAGCCCACCCCGGACCTCTCTGCTGGAATGCATGGCGCATGAGACACGTTGGTGGATAAGAAAATGATTGCGTGAGTGACATTGCTCCTTGTGTTCTGGAAACGTCTCCCCAGCCCCTAGCTCCTACTCCTCACCCTTCTTGTCCAAGGAACCCTTTCTCTAGCCTCTGTCTATCTAAACGCCTTTGTCTGCCGAAGCCTCAGGCCTCCTCCATCCACTGTTACCCCTAGAAGAACCGCCCACTGTGGCTGCCATTGCTGCAGCCACCAGTCCTTCAACTTGCCTCAGTACGTGGGCTCCTGCGTCCTCCCGGGGACTGGAATTTGCAAAGATAGAGACCACCATCACATCCATGACTCCTGCTCTCCAGCCCTCCAGGCCTTTCATTCCATGAAAACACAGAGTATCAGCAGAACACCCCCTACTTCCTGGCTTCCTCATTATCTGCTTCCACTTCCAGCTGCACTTCCTGCTCTCGTGCTCTCCTTTAAGATAAGCCCCACCCAATGGTTTCTGTGGTTGCTTGCGTCTGACAAGCAAGTGGTACACCCCCTACCCCGCCTATGACTCCATGCTCAATAGGATTGGACAGTTGAACTCCCTGGGGGGTATTTTTGTTGTTGTTGTTTTTTCTTTTAACTTTTTTTTCTTTTTCTTTTTGTGAGTGAGAGAAGGAGTGGGTGAGTGAGAGAAGGAGTGGATGAGTGAGTGGGTGAGTGAGAGAAGGAGTGAGTGAGTGAGAGAAGGAGTGAGTGAGTGAGAGAA